GAAGTAAGTTAGTTATTATTTCGTAGTGGACATCGATATTTTAGTTACTGCTACCTAATTCTTTGAAATTTATTTATTATTTGGATAAGTCTAATCAAATTACATAGAACAAGTGAAGGTTGTTATGTATATTAGTCATTATTAGTTGTGTACTAAATGTATGTAGCATAGTACTTAACAATAAAAAATTATTGAAAAATTTATACTATTTATTTGATTTACAGCAAAAGTTTTACTGGACTGAAAACTGCAGAATTATTTACATTTTTTAGATTCCGTTTAAATTTCTTTACTTCAAATTTTTAATAGACAAAGTGATCTAAAAAATACATTATTTCACTTTTTTTGTACTTATAAATAGGTGAATGATTAATTACATTCATTGTATTTAGTGCTCTAAAATACATAAACTAGGAGAATTAGTCGATGTGTCTGGTAAAGCACTTTATAAATTATAACGCAGCTACAATGTTAAACACGTAAAAAGAGTTTCAATAAAAACAATTTAATATTAACAGTTGTATGACGTATATAAGTACAGTTTTGTAACATTTTATGTACTGTACAGTACGTTTTGATATAAGAATATTGTTCACTTACAATTCGCATTGTTTAGAATTTTAACGAAACCATTTGAAACAATTGGTTCTAATGTAGTGTAAACCATATTATCAGCAGCCACTATTTATTTGCACTGCTGCCGAAGTAAAATGCAACATCATGTAGGCCTCTAGATATTGCAAGTGTTGCATGTTTACTTGCAAATAGTGTATTTATGACAAAAGTACTTTTGATTATACAGAATAAGGTCTTCAGTTATTACTTATTTACTGAATAATATAGTTTAAAAATATTCAATTTAATCACAATTTTTATAACTAATGGATCGAAATTACAAAAAGATATGAAAAATTCCCTAATTTTTTAACTTTTTCAATCTGAAGAACAACCTCTGTGAATTTTTGAGTTTTGTACGCATAATTTCCGAATAAAAAAATGCTCACATCTCTGAGGTTGCACTTGGCTAAACTCCTAAGGAAAATTTAAAAGACTATCTCTTAGACGTAACACGTGTTTCAAACGTGGAACAAACTTGTTTCTTGTTCCCAGCAAGAAAATTTTATTTTTGCATAGATTCATGTGCCGATACATAAAGCATCTGTGTTAAAAAGATTGGAAAGGATTAAATTGAAAAATGATGTAAAAATTTTTCACATTAATTCATAAAAACATTGCAAGTAAACATCTGAATTACTTTTGTACATTTACGTGAAATATGTTTTTTTGTGTAAGAAATGTGAATAATTTTTAATTTTAATGCAGAATTACAGTTATTTTATAAAGATTTTGCAAAAATGATATTTATAAGTAAAGACCGGTAGAAGACATAAATTGAACATTTAAAACGTATATAAAATTATTAGTAAAATCAATTTGCCAGGAACAAAACTGGCCTGGTCTAGAGCCGTTTAAATTGATAGATTTTGAGTATTTCTTGTTACTTTCCCACTTGTTAGATATAACGGAGGTAAAAGACAGCGATCTCAGTTTGAACAAGACTTTTGTGAAGTGTTTCGGGCTTTACGGTAAAAAACTTGAAAAAAGAGAGGTTCATCACTACCTGTCTAACACGGACAACTTTTCAAATAATAAAAGTAGACAGTAATAATTAGTCGTCGTTGACCATCCTCTCTTCCGGGAAGAGGGAAACGTCTACTTTCGATCGAATTAACTTCATCATGCAGCAACCCATTTTGTCTGTGCAACAGTGGTTTTATTTCATTCGAAAAGCAAAATTACATAAAAAAAAGATACCACCGAGCACAAATTACGTTTTACCAGGTTTTCGAGGGTGCCAAGTTTAAATGTTTGGTTATTTTTCAAGCGAACCATGATTGATTTGGAGATTACCATTTAATATTTTGGTATGAAAGGTATAGTACGTTGAAGTTGACATTAGAAAAAAACATTAACACGTCATAGTTGCAATTTCATTGGTCAAGTATGTCCCCAGAAATTAAAAATCGAATTATGAATATTTACAAAAAAGTTTTTAATTTTTCGAGTCTATTTTTAATCCTTTTAACACACCACCGAAGTAACTGTATATTGGCTTGGATAAACTTCCACAGAACACAGCAGAATAAAAGGTCGGCGTTTCGATCATTTTTAACTATGCTCCGACGAACCGTATAAACTGTTTAATTTGTAGAAACACATGCTAATCTTCGTCAATTTCTTCAAATCTTTACTTTTCTGAATTCTTCAATCTCTACTTTTTCAGTCTGTCATATATGGTGGGGAATGTCTAGTATTGTATAATCGACAGTGCTGTAGGTAGTAAAATAAATTTTAATATCATGCAAACTACTAATATATAGTTTATTGACATCATTTCACTGTTCAAGTTTATTGGAAAAGAATTTGAAAAAAAAAATGTTGACCTATAATTTTTTAATGTCGTCTATTTGTTGTCAGTCCTACCTTAGACTCCAGAACGTAGTAAGATAAATAAACGTTGAGACGAGGTGTGGAAAGCGTAGAAACAAGAAGCTTCGATTAATTATATAAGTACTTGGGGTTTGCACTGCGAGTACATTATTTCAATTAAAGCGTTTTTTTAGAGTTATTTAGATGACGGGCACCACTCTATTGTTAACAAGTAACGTATGATTTAAAAGATCGGGACTACTAATTAAAGGTGAAGAGTATATTGTGAGAATACGGGCGAAGGTAGATCCTTCTATTCGGGTTGGCCCCTTGAGCAAAAAGATCCAAAAATGTAGGTTGAAGTGGTTTGTTCATGTAGAGCGAAGAAGTGACAATTATGTTGGAAAGAAGATCGGAAAGTGGTGGTAAACGGAAAGAAAAAAACAGGAGAACAAAAGATGCATTGGAAAGATAAGGTGGAATAAGACTTGAACCACAAGTGACTTAGAGAAGAAGCCCTTGATAGGGAGAAATGGAAAAAAGTATTAGAGAAGGAAATGCTGACTTCATATAAAAATGGGGAAATGCGAAGATAAAGAAAAAGAGAGAAGTTGTCTAATGGGGAGTGCAGTGGGTAAATCGATAGGGTTCGTTATTCAAGAAAATGACAGGTAGTCAGGCTTATAAACGAATACAACAGGAGTTTATTATAAATAAAATCTAGAGTATACATAAGAAATACGTAATGCACGACGGAATATGGAGAAAAACTATATAAAGCGGCACGACTAACCTACTACGTATTTCGCACCTAGGGCTTACCGGTACTGGCTATTAATTTCTTTCTATCTAAACTATGTAGCTCGAGAGTTTACAATTCTCTAAATATTTTACGTCTGGTAAATAATCGATTGGTAGACTTTTCGGAGTCTCGGGTTTATCGGTCTTCATATGGAGGTGGCGAGTTGTATTGGCTTTTTCACCAAATTTAATGCTGTCTCATTATATATTTATGCGATAACTTCACTTCATGAGCTACATAAAACGTTTGTAAATTGTTTGAGTGGTAAAAATATAAACGATAAATTTTTTATTACTTACTTGAAATAATGACTTTCAACAACTAACCAAATTAACCTTTTAACTAATTATATTTTGCATAATATATTACAGTAAAGCGTCGATTATCCGAAAATCAATTATTCGAAAGAATTCCAGTTGGCAAATTTAAATTTTCGCCAGAGTTGTGGCGCTGCAATCTTTGGCTATGTCTTGGGCTACTCAAATATTTTACGTTTTTGATACTAAATTACTTCTGAAGTATAATTTTTTATTGTTTTTATATTTTTCAATATATTTATTTTATTTGTACAAAATAAAGAAATAATTTTTAACGATACAATAGTCTTTGTTAGGTTTAACATCGACGAAAATTCAACGCGAAGCGACACGCAACGGAGAAAAATTTCAACATGGGATAAGTTAATATATTTTTTCGTACATAATCGGTTATCTGAAACATCGATTTTTTTTCCCGAACAACCCCAGTCACCAATTGATTCGGATAATCGACGCCCTACTGTATATTAAACGAAAAATTAAACACACGTCGAATACAGAGCTCATCGCGTGTTTGATAAACAAAATAATTGTAATAAAATATGTTTAATTTATCCCAAGAATCTATAAATCCTTATTACCATATACTGTATGCTTCACAATATCGTTCACACGAGAAGATTTGCGGCTTTATCTTTTATAAACGGAACATTAAATTCAAATATAATACAAAATTTGTGTACATTGCTGTGTTATAACGTAAAATGACATTATGAATAAATTAGGGGTTTTGTTTTATAAGTGTGTCTTGACAAAACAACATATTAATTTTTATATTACAAAATGTTTATTATTAATCAGAAAAAGTAATATAACATACCAGAAAAATATACGAGAGAAAACACCAACAATATCGAATGGGTTACTTTTCTCCTTCCTCCCTATTCTCATTTACACTTTTCTACACACTGCATATGTAGTATTACTCATCAATCCTACACATCTATTAAATAACATTTATTACAATATTTATTTTCAAGTGTAAAGGTTTATCTGCGTTCAGAAAACCTTGAAGTTTTATGAAGATTTTATATGAACATAAAGTTAAAATTTTCTGCTGCGCTATGTCAAATACGATATTTCGTTACGAAATAATTATTATATTGTAATTATAAAATAGCAAAAACGCTGAATTTTAAAGGGTAAGATAGGTTTTTATCAAAAATTAGTAAATGCTATTAAGCAGAGAAAATTATGATTAAATTTGACCCGACTCGAGACACGACACGAGTTCTTTCTGTCTTTCCACCTCGTTGTCGTTTATTTACCAAAATTTAACATCGATGTCTCTTACATACAAGCTACCGTGTTAAATTTCGTTCCTTGATCATTACCTCATCCCGAAATATTAAACGAAATAGACGGTTTAAGTTTACTTTTAAGATATAAGTGACATAGACCGATTGGTTATTAGATACTGGAATAAAAATAATTCAAAATCAAACGAATTCTGGAACATTTAGGCTAATTTTATTTTTACTTATTACCGCAATGCAAATTTTTGCTGGAATACATATTTACCATTAGAATTATATTTCCGATTAAGATTTCCTGATGGAATTCATAAACAAAACTTATATTAAATTAAAGTCATTTACTGCTCTTTAATACTTGAAAATTCACTTCATTTCTTAAATTAACCATTGTAAATTTAGCTAAAATATTATCTCCTATACTTTCTGATTACTGTCAGTAATGTTTGTCACAGTTTAACTCACAAATGTTTAGATATTATTAATTTTATGTTTTACATGATGTGCGGAAATACTAAGTTAATGTTTAAGAACTTGACTTAATATTTCTAAGAAAAGAATTAAATAAAAAACGTAACACCGGATCTGTAAAAGATGGATATACATTGAAGACAATCCACTGTTTTATAGTTTTGTTTGTTCGACCCTTACTTTAGCGTAATATTTCTCTTTGGCAATTTTGTATAATTCATTCATTGAAGTTACTCCCGTCTTCTTTACCAAATTATAAAATATACCATTTACGTTCTTCAGTAATGCATACGGCGAGTCAAATTCTTGTAGTTTTCCTGTATCTAGTACCTAAAATTTTAAAATATGTAATTAAGAAAGCATTTATTTATATATTACTAAAAAGAAGAATCTTACCAGCACTCTATCCGAATCGATGATTGTGTTTAATCTGTGGGCTATTGTCAACACAGTACAAGATTTAAATCTTTCTCGAATTATTTTCTGTAGACAGGAATCGGTCCTTAATAGGAAAATAAATAAATAAATAAAATTCGTAATTTATTTTCGTCCGATGGTTCTTTTCATTTAATAGTTTAAATAACAAAATTCGCCCAAATCAAAATTGTAAAATATCGTCACCAATGGGATGCTTTCCAAAATCTACATTTTCCAGCGCTTACTACTTCGTGGATATAAAGCCGAAACACCCCAAGAAGGTTAGATGGTTTCAAAAAGACGTTCATATGTCACCAATTCCTATTTTAGAAAAATTTTATATCTTTTAATTGGAAAATTTGTTTTTTTTAAAAGGACTTTTTAGCGTTTTGGCGGCTAGTAGCCTAAAAAGATAGGTCGGTCGCCAGGATTGTTNTTCGGATAATCGACGCCCTACTGTATATTAAACGAAAAATTAAACACACGTCGAATACAGAGCTCATCGCGTGTTTGATAAACAAAATAATTGTAATAAAATATGTTTAATTTATCCCAAGAATCTATAAATCCTTATTACCATATACTGTATGCTTCACAATATCGTTCACACGAGAAGATTTGCGGCTTTATCTTTTATAAACGGAACATTAAATTCAAATATAATACAAAATTTGTGTACATTGCTGTGTTATAACGTAAAATGACATTATGAATAAATTAGGGGTTTTGTTTTATAAGTGTGTCTTGACAAAACAACATATTAATTTTTATATTACAAAATGTTTATTATTAATCAGAAAAAGTAATATAACATACCAGAAAAATATACGAGAGAAAACACCAACAATATCGAATGGGTTACTTTTCTCCTTCCTCCCTATTCTCATTTACACTTTTCTACACACTGCATATGTAGTATTACTCATCAATCCTACACATCTATTAAATAACATTTATTACAATATTTATTTTCAAGTGTAAAGGTTTAGCGTTTTATCTGCGTTCAGAAAACCTTGAAGTTTTATGAAGATTTTATATGAACATAAAGTTAAAATTTTCTGCTGCGCTATGTCAAATACGATATTTCGTTACGAAATAATTATTATATTGTAATTATAAAATAGCAAAAACGCTGAATTTTAAAGGGTAAGATAGGTTTTTATCAAAAATTAGTAAATGCTATTAAGCAGAGAAAATTATGATTAAATTTGACCCGACTCGAGACACGACACGAGTTCTTTCTGTCTTTCCACCTCGTTGTCGTTTATTTACCAAAATTTAACATCGATGTCTCTTACATACAAGCTACCGTGTTAAATTTCGTTCCTTGATCATTACCTCATCCCGAAATATTAAACGAAATAGACGGTTTAAGTTTACTTTTAAGATATAAGTGACATAGACCGATTGGTTATTAGATACTGGAATAAAAATAATTCAAAATCAAACGAATTCTGGAACATTTAGGCTAATTTTATTTTTACTTATTACCGCAATGCAAATTTTTGCTGGAATACATATTTACCATTAGAATTATATTTCCGATTAAGATTTCCTGATGGAATTCATAAACAAAACTTATATTAAATTAAAGTCATTTACTGCTCTTTAATACTTGAAAATTCACTTCATTTCTTAAATTAACCATTGTAAATTTAGCTAAAATATTATCTCCTATACTTTCTGATTACTGTCAGTAATGTTTGTCACAGTTTAACTCACAAATGTTTAGATATTATTAATTTTATGTTTTACATGATGTGCGGAAATACTAAGTTAATGTTTAAGAACTTGACTTAATATTTCTAAGAAAAGAATTAAATAAAAAACGTAACACCGGATCTGTAAAAGATGGATATACATTGAAGACAATCCACTGTTTTATAGTTTTGTTTGTTCGACCCTTACTTTAGCGTAATATTTCTCTTTGGCAATTTTGTATAATTCATTCATTGAAGTTACTCCCGTCTTCTTTACCAAATTATAAAATATACCATTTACGTTCTTCAGTAATGCATACGGCGAGTCAAATTCTTGTAGTTTTCCTGTATCTAGTACCTAAAATTTTAAAATATGTAATTAAGAAAGCATTTATTTATATATTACTAAAAAGAAGAATCTTACCAGCACTCTATCCGAATCGATGATTGTGTTTAATCTGTGGGCTATTGTCAACACAGTACAAGATTTAAATCTTTCTCGAATTATTTTCTGTAGACAGGAATCGGTCCTTAATAGGAAAATAAATAAATAAATAAAATTCGTAATTTATTTTCGTCCGATGGTTCTTTTCATTTAATAGTTTAAATAACAAAATTCGCCCAAATCAAAATTGTGAAATATCGTCACCAATGGGATGCTTTCCAAAATCTACATTTTCCAGCGCTTACTACTTAGTGGATATAAAGCCGAAACACCCCAAGAAGGTTAGATGGTTTCAAAAAGACGTTCGTATGTCACCAATTCCTATTTTAGAAAAATTTTTTATCTTTTAATTGGAAAATTTGTTTTTTTTAAAAGGACTTTTTAGCGTTTTGGCGGCTAGTAGCCTAAAAAGATAGGTCGGTCGCCAGGATTGTTCGTCTTAAACACGGAATTAAAAATGGTGGTCTCTGTTTGGGCGAATTTTGTCTTTTAAATTATTTAATAAATAAAATATGCGTCATAATTGAAAATATCAATATCAGTATAAAATACAAATGACATATTCGGAAAATAGTAAAATTGACTTCAAATTATCAATATTTACAACGTTTCATAAAAACACAGACCAATTATCATACCCGTGTTTTTTGTTTTCTATCTCTCAGTTATTCTACATGTTAATAGAATTGTTTTCGGTAAAAGTATCCGACAGCATACAAAACTGGCTGAATAAAATTGAATTAATCGTTCGTAACACATCAAAGATTTTTCTAACCACATTGCCTTTCGGGAGGACTTTCAATTCCAAAAGTCAAATGGTTGAGGAACCGCGACTCCCCAACCTGATACCGTGATTATTAGTTTCAATCATTAAACTACTCAGCTGCCCAGTTAGAACGACTATGTGTTTTGTTTGTATTAAAAAATTTTTTTATCTGACGGGAATTCAAAGATATTGTTAAAATTCGACACTAGAGGAACGTTGAGGCATAATCTACATTTGTCAGCGCTATTTCTAAGTAGATATAAAGGAGCCGGAACTCCAAATGGATGAGAAAATTAAAGACGTCGTAAGATTTTCCATTTCTAATTTTTAAGAATTTTTTTAATTTTAATTGGATTTCTATGTTTTCATTAAGGAACTTTTTAGCTGGGAGCTGAGTTGCCTAAAAAGGAAGGTCTGGCTGTCTATAGTTTGTTCTGGAACATTGAAAAAAATAAAATGTTGATCGTCTGAGAATTTTTAGAACGACTATGTCTTTTGTTTGTATTAAAAAAGTCGGGAAGTTGGGATTTTAATTATAAAGGTAGAGTAGTCAGTCTTATAGCGCATAATGTAGTCGTTGGAATAAAAATAATTTTTTTAAGAACAGTGTATATGCAAGCGATGATATAATAATATCTTGTTCTTCAAATTGTTTTGGTTCTAAGTGTACGAGTGAGATTTTCAATAACAATTCAACATTAGATATATGTATATATATATATGACAATGTTTGTTTGTTTTTTTCGCTACGCACTCCTAGGCTATTCAACAAATTGCTTCAAAACCTGGTAGTTACGTTAATATACTTCTGTCTTGGATAATTGCCTGGGCTAAAACCAGGCTACTGCGTAACATTTGCATTTTTTCCGAATTTTAAAAAAAAAAAAACATTTCAACGTTAGCTTTTAATGAGTTTGGTACCACAATGCTCATTTGACTGTTGTCGTCCGCATAAATTACTTTTGGAAAATATACTTAACTCTGTGAAAAGATATATTGAAAAATACGAAAGTTTCGACTTTTGTTCCTTTGACGCTTAACAACAAGAAGTATTTTGACATTTTTGGGCGCTGTTTACTGGAGTAGGAAGTTGCTTCATATATCTGCAGAGATTGGTGAATATCGGATGAACTACCTCTGAATCCGAGTTATAAGGAGGGAAAACAGATTTACATCCCTCATCTCACTAGATAGTACCACGTTACCTAGCTCTTCGATTGCCTCTGCTGTGTCTGAATGCTTGTACCGATTTAAAGAATATCTCATTTTTTTTCATGATCATATCAGCAGTTACGCTCAAGTTCTTCCTCTCATCCTATCGAATATTTTCAACTTTTACGTAACTATTTTAAATATGTTTTTAGTCGTGTCAAGCACCTCACCGACGTTATGTTTCAGACACAGTTCCCTCTGTCTACACTGGACAAAATCTCAAATACTGCTGCTTTTAACGAGCGACTCCAATTTTTCCAAGACTTTTCCCGCTGGAATGCGAACTGATTTTATTTTATTATTCTTTTCTTTTTTATATTTTAGTTTAGTTGTCTTTATTTATTTACTTTAGTTTCGTTAATTAAATTTCTTTATTACACCTTTCTTTTTTATCTTTTGTACTTTGTACTTGTACTTTTCATCATATTTTTTTTCTTTTAACAACAGTAAATCATTTACACTTTATCATCTGTAACGTATTAGTGATAAAACTGCTCGCCCAGGCTAATTACATCAATGAACATCGTCTCGAATTTTTCGATGTCATCTATCTAGTGTCGTACATAACCCCAAAATATTGATTTAATTTCTATATATCAATTAACTTTTACCTACGTCCGAATTACTGGCTTTACATGTAGTGCCGACAGTTAAAAAAATTTAATATTAATAAAGTAAATATAATTCATATAAAAAGTAATAATTTTAAAATAAAGAAATAAACTGACAATTTCAAATCTCGCAGACAACTATCATGCATTTGGCAACCGCTCTGCTATATTAATACTGTGACGAATAGCCAGTGGCATGCAGGTGCTTTGAGTCGAAAGTGTCACACTGTAACAAGCTATATTAGTATTTAGCTTTCCAAGTGTAACAATTTAATTAATATCTGTCTATGTCAGTGCGACAGGAAGTGCGACATTATCTGTTTCCTCATTGAAATTCCATTCAATATTTAGTTATATAACTATTGATTTACAACGAATGTTTCGAGTGATTACAGTATCAAAATATGAAAAAAAAAATAAAGAAAAATTGTGCTATAGAAAAACGCAATATAACGAAAAATGTCAAATTTTATACACAAAATCATCAATAACTATCGTAAAAGCTTATCCAATTCTTAACTCGAAGTATGCAAACAAAGGATAATTAACACATACAATTTAATTTGTCATGGCAGGAAAACGTCTTTACATTTCCAAGTTATTACTATTATTTTTTTCTGTTAAAGTCTAGTCGTTACATATAAGGACGCGAATATTTTTCTTTTTGAACAGAATTTTTTAAAAAATTAATAATTTTGTATTTGAAACCGGGTGTAACAAGCTACTTAAATTATAAACCTGGATAATGAAGCTTTCTTAATGCATGGTTCTTTTAGCCCTTGTGAGATCAGCCGGGGGTACTACTCCACTAGGATAGTACCACTTAATCGGCGCTAGTTGGTAAAACTAGTTCTCCAAGTTTCGGATCGAGAGATCCGATCTTCAATTTTTTATAGGAGGGCTGTTAAATGTTAATTAGGATATAGACGGCAAAGTCTCTATCCAAAGTCAGGATCCCCTTTGACATCAGTTAATCACTTTTATTACACGCGGATTAACACGCGTATGGAGATCTGATTCAGATAACAATCAAAAGACATTTCTTAACAATAATAAAATTTAATGATCAAAAAAATTTAAATTATACAAAAGTGGAAAACATTTAAATATTCAAGACAATCGATAGAGACAACTAATAAATCAAATTAAACGCTCCGAGAGAGAGAGAGAGAGCTCACAAAATCATTATAATCATACAACCTTGTAGTTGACTTTATCTTCTGTATTTAGACGAATGTACTTCATTGATAAAGTTCTCTGACTTCGGTTCCTGGAGAAGTCTTGATAGGCACCAAATAAAATATATCTTCCCTTTACTATTTTAACTTATTATTATAGTAGCTTGGTTTCGACTATCGGCGTTGACTTAGCGGGAGACAAATATGGACTACGTCGATCACATCTCGGATCTTCTGCCGTACACATAAGGGCGTTGGCCTTATGGAGACAATATTGGATGCTTCTCTCTTTTATGAGAGTTCCTCGTACTCCTCGAATTCTGCTAAATTTTGACTATATCTCTTAATCAGCGACCAATCAGCATGTTTGATTTCTTTCACGTGAACGGATGAAAAGAGGAATGAATGAGGGGTCGTCAATTCCCAGTGTGGTGAGATTTGTAACAGATAAGGGGAAAACAAAGGATGCTTCTACTTCCGTCGATGGAAGTGGCTCTGTTATCAGTTTTCCCACGTTAGAAAACTGTAAATTTCTCACCAAAACGAAAGAATATTTTTCTACAAAAATTTAACTTTATTTTTAAATTATTATTTAGACCCAGAGGCTATTCGGATCTCACACCCTATAGACAAAAGAATAAAAAAAATCTTTACTCCACATTCATCTGATTTCGGCCAAATTCAAACGAGGTTGAACAGATTTTGAAATTATCGTACTGTACATAATATATTTGTGAGTGTTGGTTAAAATTTCATTCCAGGTTCCCAGAGCGATAGGTTGAAAGTTTGATCACTCTGCATATCGTCCATCTGATTATTGGCATAATATTTATCTAATCATCCTGAATATGAAAAGTCTTTCTTAAAACACCATCATCTACGTTAGGGTATTTTATTCCTATTCTCAACGTTGAAGTTGGTAAATGGTTATATTACGACTCGAATGACAGCTATTTATGCTTAATTTCACGATTTTCTTATAAATTTTTTATTTAAAAAGTAATGTGAGTAAAATACGTTTATGCTTAATTATTAATAATAATTTAAAAGATTACAGACCGAAACACAAAGTGAGTGACACAGATATCTAAAAGTTTGCAAAAAGTTATAATCATTGTCTACGCAACAAAAACTGAAAACATATTTAATTTATATTATGACAGTGTTCTTCTCGACTTACAGGAGTGGGTAAATAAACTATCCCACATAAAACCTTTTTAACCAGTCATTTATAACTGTTATCTTAACATTATTTATAACTGAAATAAGATAATAATTTCTATTTCAAGTGTTCTAACCTTTTATCAATATTGGACGTTGCTTCGTCCATAACAAGAATTTTATTCCGGCGAAGAATGGTTCTGGCCAGACAAATTAATTGTCTTTCTCCCACACTGAAATTTCGTCCTCCTTCCGTTAAATGCGTATCCAACCCTCCAGGTAATTTACTAACAACTTCTTTTAACTGTACCTGTAATTGAGGTGTTTTTGAAAATATATATAAATAAATAAGTTTAATCATTAAAAAAATTAAAAAGAAAATCAGGAAGCAAATTAAAATAATTATTTAATTCTAACCTCTTCTATGACTTTCCACAGCGTTTTGTCCAAATATTCATTAAAGGGATCGATGTTTCTTCGAAGAGGACCAGTAAACAACATTGGATCCTGAAAAAAAAATGTCGTGTTAATCTCTTCTTTTTATAATAATTTTAAATATTAAATAATATGTATTACAATTACGACGAAAGTAAATATTAAAAATACATTATCTCAATGATTTTCATAGAATACGCAGCATGCCTTTATCATTAATTCAAATCGACTGCTAAGAAATTAACGAATTAACATGATTTTCATGTTCTGATTTTAATTAATTGCGATATTAATAAAATGTCATTAATTCGGAAAACATGAAGAATCAGGATAATGCCAGATTATAAAAAATAACGAATCATCGAGAAATATGATCATCTGGCATTATTAGTTAATCAGACAATTCAAACTATCGGCTAATTTTAGAGACAGGTTTATACACTTTTCGGCTTTAATTGTTAGAATTCTGACGATGACACAGATAAATTTATCGGATATAATTAATAAATTAATACTCTTACTCCATTTAAATATAACTTTATTAACATTATCGCATATAAAAAACTTTATTGTTTTGAGCCAATCTTTTCGATTTCATCCGTAAGTGAAATCAGTATTATAAGTGATATTAATAGACAAAGAGTAATTTTAAAGAATAGTTGCTGTTAGTGTATAATGGATTTTCATTAAAATTACATCCTTTTTTATAAAAAGTAAATTTATTCATTAACACATTCTCTATTAATAATCAGTATATAATTTTATGTAGATTCTTGTGAAGATGTTAAAGAAATATGTAAAACTGTTAATCTGAAGATCACGATTTATATAGAAATTGAAATAGGTAACAATTAACAAAACTCACTCAGCAATCACTTAGCAAATACAGGGTAATATACTACACAATTATACCTTATATATCTATACTACACAACTATACCTTATATCCCTGTAATATATTACACAACTATACCTTAAGATGCCAAGAAAAATTTCTTTAAACGTAACTAACGTTTTCGGCCTATTCGGTAGGCAATCTTCAGGTTATCGAGAGAAAAAATAACTGTTCTAAAAATGCCTATATAAAATTCCGTATATATTCATAGGCCTATATATATATATATATATATATATACACACATGTATGAATATATAATAAAATAACAATCATCAGATATATTATAAATTATGTAATAATATCGTATATAAAAGACCAGAAATGTAAAAGTGTAAAAAAGTTAATACAAAAGTTCGGAGGTTTTAAAAAATTTTTCATCTAAGTACATCCACGCAGATGGTAGCCCTTCTGCGTCTCTTGCATTGATGCACGTATCTTGTAAGCTTGCCCTTATAAATATTTTCTGCGCTCTTCGCTAACGTCGGGAGTTCACGGTCTTAACAATTGGCAAGCGCCAAATCCGACAGAGGGCGCTGTTTTTGAGCCAAGATGGTTGACGAAACAGGTAAGGAACTGACCACGTGTTTGTTCAGTGCCTGACGACTACTGCAAGGACCAAATGGAGATCAAATCATTGAATTTATGTCAAATTCTAGACTATATTGGCGACAGGAAACGTTGTCTTGTAGGTGAAGGCGTTTTGGATGCTGGACGCATCGTATTTTGTGGATTGAACTCTAACAACAACACTGAAGTTTATGTTGTTGCTTTAGTGTTGAAATCTCAGATATTGTCATTTTAATACATCTTAATTACAGGGAGAATGCACGTGCAAAGCGGGGCTCTCTGGTTTTTGTAAACATGTGATAGTATGTTTATTACACGTTAACAGGTGAGAAATATTTAAATATTTTAAGCAGTATACAGCATGTTCCAATATAAAAACATAGTTTTATTTATCATAATAGTTAAAATTAGCGCTAATCTGAAGGCTACCCATGATGAGTCATTTAGCACTTATACAACATAGGCCAGTCAAAAGTTTCTAGCACATGTTATGGTGTGTGTGTGTGTGTGTGTGTGTGTGTGTGTGTGTGTACGTCTCAAATATCCAAAACAGCTTCACCTTCTACAAGAAAACGTTTTCTGTTGCCAATATAGTCTAGAATTTGACATAAATTCAATGATTTGTTCTCCATTTGGTCCTCGCAGTAGTCGTCACCTATAGAAACTGAATCGGCACAAGCAGATTCAGATTCAGATTCATTTTATTAATAAAATACTGAGTTACAGTACATACCTGGTGCCATAGACATATAAGTTGGTGCAGACAAGAACATATTGGCATTATTACAGATCATTAACATTAGAGGCTACAATAACATTACATGTGTAGTATATACAAAAGATGGGGATAAAATAACAAGTTGTATGATACAGAAAACGTATGCATTAAAATATTATACAACAGAGAATCACAGAATACAGGATGTAAATAACAAAATATAATATATTATAGAATAATAATGCACACAAAGTATAATACAATATTTCAGTAGAAAACATAATACAATAGCAATTAATTAAATTTACAGTGACTTATTTGAGTAAATTAAAATACATAAACAATAATATAAAATTCAGTAAGCAAAACATATAATACAGTAAGAAATTATAAAAAAACAGTGTGTTAAAAAGTAATAGTACCAGTAGCAATGAAAAATAAGCCAATACAACACAGCTAATGAGAAAGGTTAGTTGTATCCAGGAACGGTGGTGCGATGACAGTATGCACTGATGAGCCTTGTGAGGGTTTCATAGGTGTCTTTATTGTCCAGGATACTGTGGAGTCATTGGGCCAGCAGTATCCGTGTGCCTCCATGGAGGACCTCAGGAAGTGCCTTTTGTGATCCAACATAGGACAGTTGAAGATATAATGATCCGAGCTCTCATCCGCACCACAAAGAGGACAATCAGAGTTTGCAGCACCAACAAATCTGGCCAGGTATGCCTGGAACCTGTTATGATTTGTTAAAAATTGAGACATACGATGACATGATTTGTACCAATTGTTTGAGAAAAATAGTTCAATATTGGGAATAAATTTGTGAGTAATTGGATAGTTAAGCGTGTTTCAATCATGTTGCCACTGCTGAAGTAGGTGATTCCAAAGCATATTCTTGATGTTTTTAGTGGTAGGGCTATTATAGCAAATCCGGAGATTGTCGTCTTCGCTGGCAGTCTTTGCAAGTATGTCGGCCCTCTCGTTACCAAGTGTGCCCTGATGGGCACTTGTCCAGCTGATGTGATAGATATTGTTGGAGTTGTTAATGATGTCGTGGATACTCGCTGAGATAGGGTGAGAAGCTTGACTATTGAGCAGGGCTATAAAGGATTGACTGTCTGAGATGATGGACACTTTAGTATTGGTATAATTTGAGTCAGACCAGGCAACTGCCATTTCGATTGCATACATTTAAGCCTGAAAGGCTGTGCAGCCGGCACCAAGCTTGAACTGCCCTCAGGCAGTCTCCACATTGTTCCAGTAGACCACATAGCTACTGCCCACATTAGAATTGGTCTTAGATCTATCTGTGAAGATTTGAATATCGGCATCATCAGGTCGCGAGAAGTTTACTTTCTTAAGAGAAGCAGGGTGTTTAGTATCAGAAAAATGGACCGGTCGTTCTAACTCTTGGCGATATATTTGTTGATTATTGACATGGATGGTGTTGCCCCACTTTAACTGCCAGATTCTTTCATGTAGTCAGATGTAACTGTTGTTGGTATACATGGGAATATGTGAACTGTATGCCGTATTGATAACCTAAAATGTTGTGGTCGATTTGTACACGGGCCACATTGGGGTCGTCGTGGTCACAAGAAACAATATTATCCTTAAGCAATAATTGAAGGGCAGTCCAATTGGCATGTTTCAGGCTGTATTTTAGACGTCGGTGAGAGAGACCGGGAGAGTTAACTTCAAAGGTAAAAGATATAAAAGCATGGTCATCAATTGAATCATCTAGAATCTTCCAGTCACTGATGAGAGGGAGGCATTCAGTAGAGCAGGCCATCACATCAATCCAGCTGTGACCCCGGCTTGATGTGAAGGTTGGTGGAGAATTGGGATTGTTGAGGATCAGCAGGCTATTGTGAGTGTAAAAATTTTCAAGGAGACTGCTGCGGCTGTCCAGGCACTCCCCTCCCCAAGTAGGAGAGTGGGCATTGGTATCTCCAGCAACTATGAAATATGCATCAGTAAAGGTGTCCATGATATTTTGGATGTTGCTAAGGGTGTACTCAAGATCTATGTCTTTGGGAGAATAATAATTTATAATAATTTACCTTTGGTCGTCTATTATAAGTTCAGAGCAGCAGATGTACTGAGTGCTCATGGTTCCGTGATGAAGAGTAGAGAGGCAGTTCTTTACTGCAATAGTCACAGCCCAGGGGTAATCTGAGATGCCCCTGAGTGGGGTGCAATTAGTCAGAAGACAGGCGAGTTGATTTTTCACACAGTAAGGCTCCTGACATAAGATTAGGTCGTAGTTATCAATGATAGAAGTTAGAATGGAAGTTGCAGCGATGCTCCTTCCAGCATTGAACTGCAGGAAACTAATTTTGTTTTTATTTTGCTGATCCATAATCGGTCTGTCTTATTAGGTTGGATTTAATTTTTTGAAATATGTTACAGGAGCTGTCCCGAGCGTTGTGTTCAGCATTTCCAACTTTGTCATGCACACAGTTAATACATGTAGGTGTTTTGTCCTTATTATTACAGTTCTTGTAAGAGAGCTCTCTGCTACAGTGACTGCAGGTGGCAACGGTTTGGCTGCAACTTTTCATAGAATGGGCAAAACGACAGCATCGGAAACATTGCAGAATGGGACAAAAGTCCGCAATTCTGCACCTGGACCAGTCAAGGTTTAGTTTGCCCGAGATTAACAAATGTTTGCGTAGTTGAGGTGTCACTTCAGCCACCCAGTTTGTGTGCACATCAGCTTTCTTCCCCATAGCAAACTTAATATTGAGAGCCTCTCTAAATTGGTCTTCAATGTAGTTTTTACTTATAGCGTCGTTCTGATTATAAATTAGAGGTGCCAGTTCTTACCGGGAAATCTGTGCAAGCACAGAGTATATCACTATGTTAGGTAGGCATTTTCTAGGCTTC